TCACACTTTGCCAAGCTGATCCTTACTGGGGCTTTCCAGTTTCTGGAGTGCTCAATCTCTCTGAATCCAGTGAAAGTTGTGCCAGGAGGTTATACAAGATGTGAAGTGGTAGAAATACATTTTTCCTCTACTTTCTCTGCTAGTTGAAGCCCAGCTTGATGTGTCACAGATTTGCTTTCTCCTAAGAGCACAAATCTGTGATGGTTCCTACCCAAGACCCAAAGATTCTGCACAGCCCACCAGGTCAGATCATGCTCTGCATGACATTGGCATAAACCTCCATTAACTCAAGTGCCTGAATTAATCTGGGTTTACCCTCAGGTAAGAGAGACTGATATCTGACCCAGTGTGCTGAGTGAGATCCTTGGCCCGTGGCCAGTGGGTTGTAGGGAAGAATGAAAGACAGTCACCCTGGATTTACACTGGGTTATCTGAGATTAATACAGGCCTTAGTATTTACAGAGCACCTACTGTAACTGCAAAGAAAAAAATATGGCAAAGCCAACATGCTACAAGGCTTCTATGTGTCTTTCTTCTTCTAAAAAATCTTTTCATTGGGCTAGGTAATATAATAGGTTAATGAGCTAAATTGTTGCCTGAGGGACAGAAGTTTTATATTTAAACTTCCACCCACAGAGCTGAAAATGCCCCTTGTGAAAGTCAGAGCTAATGATGGAGCTTGTGTGTCTGGCTTGTAATTCCACCTTTCCTGATACAACACCAGTGAAATGGAGAATAGTCAAAAAAAATGAAACTGGGAGCCCTGAACCAATCTGTGCTATTGGCTCCAAATACAGAACTTTAGTCAGGACAGAATTTGAGGCATGTGAAATAGAGAAACAATTAAATAAAACTGGAAATAAAGAAAAATCCATAACAATTTTGTGGAGAATTGCTTCTGTTATATAACCTCGCCTCCTCAACTATACCTTAGAAGAGTCCAAAGGGCAACTGGAGGAAAGGAACTCAAAAAATGTAGCCTTGGCCTGTAGAGAATGAAAGAATTATTAAGGTTGGGAAAGACCTCCAAGGTCAAGTCCAGTCTTTGACCAAACACCACCTTTCCCACCAAACCCTAGCACTGAGTGCCATATCTGCTTGGTTTCTGAGCTCTTCCAAGGATGGTGACTCCACCACTTCCCTGGAGAGCCTGTTCCAATGCTTAACCACTCTTTCAGTGATGAACATTTTCCTAATATCCAATCTGAACCTCCCTTGTGCTACCTCTGGTTGTCTGGGAGAAGAGCCTGACCCTCATCTCAACACAACCTGCTTTGAGGTAGTTGTGGAGAGCAAAAAGTCTCCCCTGGGCCATCTTTTCCTGCCACATTACTGCTGGAGGAGAAGGGGAGAGAGCTGAGGACGGGGGGACAGCCTTGAGTGGCTAAAAAGCAGCCCCTGGTGCTGCTCACCTTCAAGCACAAGATCTGTGTCACCACCACAACTTGCCAACACCTCCAGCTCCCTGCATCATCTGGGACATGTTTCCAGCGACTCCAATGCCAAGTCCAAGTCCTGCAGCAGCCCCTTCCAGCACAGCCTGGGGCAGGGAATGGTGTGGAGCTGGGCTGCGTGTCCTGCTCAGCTCCCCAGAGAGCCACACACATAAAGACACACTCTGTTCTTGCAGGAATGTAATCCTCGATGTAAAGTTTGTCAGCAAAAATATAATTCACCACGAAAGAATGGACTACTGTCTTGCTAAAGCATCAAAAGGCACATTTTCAGCAGTCTGGGAGTCTGAGGCAAGTGTTGGGAAACAGAGCAACCTGTGTTTGTTCCTCTGACCAGCACAACTACAATAAAAATGTAAAAATGCTTCAGGTGCTAGAACATTTAACAGCTCGGATTTCAAACAAGGAGGAACTATTTCAAAGCAGAACGAGTGTATGAGATGTTTGTTTCTTTAACTGAATGCAAACTGGATGTGGAATTTCCTCTTGGAAGAAACGACTGAATGGGAGATGGCTTGGACTCCCTTTTGTATATTGCATCATGTATAAAAAAGGATGATATAATGAATTCTGAAGAATCCAGGCAAAAATAAAATAAGGATTTCAGGTTAACACCTTCAGTGGGTCTTGCATTGTGCAATTCATGTTTCTATTAGGTTTGAAGATTCTGGGGCCAGGAACAGTTTAGTTATGAAACTTGTATCACTCATGCTGAGTAAAATGCAAAAATTAGTACTTATATCCCTTTAAGATAATGGGTTTAAAAGAGAAGTGGCAGCAGTGTAGAGAAGCTGCAAGTTTAGTAGCAGTGGTAACAGAGCTTTAGTAACAGAGCAACTCTCTGTCTTTAGAATTCCAGTAGAGTCTGTTAATCTCAAGCACTGGGCTAACAAAGGCAAACTCAGAGCCATTTAAAGTAACTTTACAAACTTGGCCTTATGTGTTTGCAAAGTGAACTAGACATATCAGTTTCTTGTGCAACACTTGAAACATGCTGCAAATATATTAAGAATATACAAACACGACAATCAGTTCCAAATGCTTTCCAAAAGCTACAGGACACAGCAAGGACCAGCTGCAAATAAACCTGACAGAAAATGGGATAAAATCCCTCTTCTTTCAGGCATGGATAATGGCTACAGAGCTGTTGCTAAGGTCAGTGGATGAGGTTTGGCTGGTGGGTGCAGGTCTCAGATCAGCAAGGCCTCATCTCCAGCCCTCACCTCTTCTACATGAGAGCTGAGAACTTAAAATCACGATTTGTCTGGGGTAGGTGTGGAGGTTTTACTGCTGCTGGGAGCTCCTTATGCACAGAGTCTGTGTATTCTACAAATACTGCCACTACTAACACAAAAATAGCACTCTGTCATACCACCCAAACAGCCTGCTCTATTTACAAGTTGTATCTGGACTTGACTTTTTACATAAGATTTTCCCTCTCTCTTACACGACTTCCCAGCATCTTCAAAGAAGATATTGGTTTGGGAAATTAAGGATCAGTGGCCAAGTCACCAGGCAAGCTGTTTGCACATAAAGCATCAAGGCCCATTATTTTAATCTGTGATAATTACCACTGTTAGTTAAATCATGCTTCCCTGATGGTTCTCAACAATAAGCAAGAAATGCGCAACACATTAATTGCACAAAGTTGTTGCTTGTTCTGAGATCAATTTGTATTAACTGGAAAAGTTTCCATCTTAGTCAGCAAAGCTCTCTCACAGTGACTTTTACTGGGCTGGGAACAAATGTTTTACAGTGGAATTTTGCCCAGGAAGGATGATTTTTAAAGAGTCCACTACAAGCTAATGGCTACAGACTTTGTGCTTGTCCTTAAAGGAGGAACTGTTTTAAACCAGAGCTGAGAGCTGATAGCTGTAAAGGCTCCCCTCCTAAGTCCAAGCCCTGTATTAAAGCTTCTGGATCCTCATGATGAAAATCCTTCACTCAGGATTTGTGAAGAACTAAATTCCACTTTAAACATTTCAGCTATTTGTGTTTCTGGAACAATACATTTTCTTCTAAGAACTGTACCTACCCTTTTCTAGCAATCTCTACCCCTCTACTCAGAGAATAAGAATCTAATTGTGTGACCTAAGTGTCCGGTCAGAATTAACCAATGTGTCTAGAATTTGAAATGCTCCTTACAAACCAAATCTAAGTCCAAGAACATCCTGCTGGACTCACACAGAGTGAAATTCCTGGGAAGCAGAGCACTGGCACAAGCTCCCTACAGACAGAAGCAGGCCACATATGCAGTACACAAGCTTTTGTGCCCTCCTGCACAGGGATGATCCTGATCCTGAGTTAAGAATCACAAATAACAAGTGATTTTGCACTGATCCTGCCCTGCTCACATGCAGACATTAAACCCATCAAACAACACTGTTTACTGTGACCCATGTAAGACTGCAGTCATCCCAGAGTGAGCCAACATCTTTATCAGATTGGAACTGTTCACACAACACTGAACTTTAAATCCACATAATCGGTGAATACACAATTATTTCATATTCCTCCCTATCAAGAGAACCTGGGTCCATTTGCATGCCAAAATGTTTTAGTGTTCCACAAATAAATAAATAAATAAATAAATAATGTTATTTCACCTGTTAACACATGGGGACTGTTTATTTTGGCCAGCTTGCATGGACTCTGAGTGCCAGGTTATGAATAAAATAATGTTCAATACTGTAAACATCTTGTGACATAAATTCCTGGCTCAGCATAAATACAGACACTCTGTATGTGGCAGGTTCCTCCTGCATTCTCCAGCACTGACACCACTAAATTAATGTATCTATGACAGAGTATACACATAACTGCAATTCCTGAAAAAAAAAGCAATCACAGATAAGCCAATTTGCCCATCCTGGGCCTCTGCTTCACTGGATTTTGCTTGCTGGAGTTTGGGTTTTTGGAAAGCAAAGTGCAACTACTGTATCCCAGTGGTTTCTGCACATGCCGTACATTCCAGAACAGAAAGTAGGTTTTCTGTTTAAAGAACAGCACAGTTAGAAAGATAAGATAAAACCAAACTGGAATATAATATTGCTGGCAATTTTTAGTCCTTTATGCACACACAAAGTCAGTAATGTAAAGGATGCTTTCTGAACAACACTGGCAAGGGTTGAGTTTCTCACACTGCCAGGCCTCCTTCCCAAGCAAAACCTCATATTACTTTAAGATCAGAATGCAAATACGGAGCACACTCTGATCTGGTTTAATCCACTGCATTCAGGAATTAATTCCACTGATGTCACTGGAGAACAAAGTTCAGACAGGCCTAAGTGAAGGTAAGCTCCAGCCCTGAGGAAGGGACTGAGGTTTTAGCTCTGCCTTTAAACTCAAGCCTTTCTCTCACTCTGGGTGGTTGGAATGAGTCTAGGACTGGACAATGAGTGTAGATCCCAGACTACCCTGAAAACCACTTAAACCTTTGCTTCCTAAATATTTAAACTGCAAATGAATGCAGACAGCAGAGAGGAGCTCAGCACATTGCATATCTTTGCTCTCAGAAAGAAAACACCACGAGCTGTTTGCTGTTACCTTGGACCAGTCTCCTGTTTTCCACTCGTAGCAGCCTGTGTGATCCTCGCACTCCTCCTCGTCTCTCGGCCTTGTGGCTGCATCACATTTCCCTTGGGAGTTTGTGCACGTCACTGTTCTTTTCTGAATTCCCCTGCCACAGTCTGATGAGCACTGCAAAAAACCAGGGGTTTAGTTTTTTGTTACGTGGTGCTCAGAAATAATGGCTTTTGTGTTGGTAACACAGCTCAGAGGAAAAGCTGGGGTTATGAACACTGAGGAAAATGATAATCCATAAGGTTTTATTACAATAATCTAAGCCACTCATACATGAGTAATTTGGACTGCTTGTGAAATATTTTACTTATGAAAAATGGCAATTCTGAAAATCAACCTCCTTTGAAAAATGTCAGCTGGCTTTTTGCTAAAATATGGTGCCACTAAATCTTATGTTGAAGAACTCCTCATTCATACTGAAGGACACACTGAGACTCACTGCACAGAACTGCCACATCCCTTGACGTATCATGGACTATATCAAGGGTGATAAATGGTGGTGTGAAATGTAATTTTAAATCGCAGCAGCATGAGACCACTGTTATAAACACGTTTCTGCAGTACAGTTTGTGCATATCATGGCAAAGTCACAATTCTCACACCTTCTCATGTGAAGCACACACATCACGTCCACATTTTGATTTGCCATCACTATCTTAACTCTGGAAAACTCTAACAAACATTTACTGAGTGAGCACAAATTATCCACAATGTTTTTGTGCCTGGGCTCTATGGGATTGGCCTCTAAAGAGCAGGGATATCTGGTCACTCATTTGTTATCTTTGCCAATGGCTGGAAATTCTTGTTTAATGAAGAATTTGTCTTGATTTTCTTGGCTGTATGAGGAGGAAAAAGGACACTGGCACGAACTGAACCCAAATTTCTGTTTTCAATAACCAGTTTGGTAAGAGAGCACCTGCTGTCACAGCCACCTGAGCCCCTGTCACCACCCCTGAGCACAGCCAGTGTGCCTGCTCCTCATTCTCATGCCACTGCAGTGGTTAAGAGTGAGAAATTGTCTTGCAGAGCCACTGGGGACAGGTGGGTGGAGAAATGATCTATGTACCAGCTGAGATAAAAACTAACCTCCTCTGGCATGTCAAGTTCTCCCCTTCGGGGGGCCAGCAGGGAAAAGACAGTTGATTTGACACTGAATAAATAGCGCAGATATGAGATATTCTGTGAGGTCTTTTGAACGTGTTCCAAGAAGCTTCTCCATCCAGGGGGTCTATGCTGGAAACAAGCATCAGCTTGATATAAATTACATCAAATGGACAAATCTCAGCATGCCTGTCTAACTGTCTTAAAAACACAATCCAGGCAGTTCTGACCTGCTGGCCTTGTTAAGGACATGAATGACAAGCGTTTATGAGCTGGCAAGCAAACAGACATGCCTTTAAATACTTCACAGCACTACAAAGTGACTTCTTGAAAATCTGGGAAACCTTCCACTTAATTTACTGTGGGCTGCTCACGGCGTGACCCCTTACGGATGTAACATCTTTGTAAGGAGCACAATCTATAGTTCTGCTAAGACAGAACAGGGGTGAATTCCTCCCAGCTTTGCAGAATTCCACAGAATGCTTTGCTGACTGCTCAGAGAGCAAGGCTTGCCAGAGATCCCAGGCTGGAGCTCCCTAAAGGGTACCTTAAAGCCATGAATTTGCCCCAAGTTGGGTAGACTTTCCCAAATTATGTATCATTTTCCTCAGGCCCCAGGGTGGACTCCTCAGGGTTGCACTCGTTCCCCTCAAACTACAAAGCTCAATATATAAAAATCTTTGGAATGGTCCAATTTACTCAAAGTAAATCAAGCTGAAGTGGGAGTATTTTTCACAGTAGGAGAAATCTCTAGGTGGGTTTTACAAGCAAGTCTGGGAAAAACACCAACTGTTTGTTCTTCCCACAGCTTTTAAGTCATTCACAGATTAATACTGCATATACTTTCCTAGACAAAACAGCATGAGCAAGAAGGTTTCCAACAGATCTTTGGTGGTCACATATAAATCACCCTCTTTAAGAGATTTTTTTCCTTTCCTCAAGTCATCTGTTTTCATGAAGAATTTCTTAATACATAGATTTTACAGAGAGTCCACAAATTAACAGACACAGTTTCTGTGTGTCCACTCGAGATCATTAAGTCTTATTTTATTGACAAATTACTTTGTCAGATCCCATGAGGCTTTGCAAAGGAGCAGCACAACTTTGCAGTTAAGACACAACTCCTTTATCTGAAGGAAATCCATATTTTTTTCCACTCTATTTCTCTAACAGTAGAAACATTCACCTTCTCCTGACAGCCTCTATTTTTATCATTAAAAATGGGTTGAGCAGTACTTTGTCCAAAACAATCTCAAGTGTTTGGCAATACAAGGGGAACTTAATTTTTTCCATGATGAAGATTACATTGGAATTTGCTGTGAAAACACACATTTTTGACCAGGGACCAGACATCAGCGCAGTCAACTGTGTTGCATGAGCAAGAAATTAAAAAAAATAGATCAGAAAATAGATTTATAAAATTATACAATTTCAGTGATATTTATTCCTCAACATCAGATTAAAATGCTAAGGAATAAAGTGATCACCACTTTAGGAAGTCCTAGGTGTGAGAAGAATTCACACAGGCAGAGCATCAAATGTGTCCTGGAGTCAACTGAGCTTCATAACAGCAGAAATGGGCCAGAATAACACATTTAAAATCACAAGTGCACAGTTAAAGACCCAACAAAAGTAAATAAATGTATCAAAGGAAAAGTAAACCTGCTATTGAAAAAAATATCTAAAAATGCTATGTCTTTGTAAAGGAGTTACATGGTCATGGATATGGAAGATTTCCACTGTAACTTGACTTACTCTATTCCATAAAAGGGAGACAGAAGTACCTCGAATTGTTAACAAAAGACTCAAGTAAAAAATCCACATGTAAACCAGGTAGGAATTGGATCCTAATCTCAGCTATAAACAGTTCAGCTGGTTTAGCTATAAGAAATAAAGAGGGCATCATCTGAAAGGGGAATGTCTACGACACACAAAAGACCTACCAGACAACTTACTAAAACCTTGGTGTGCTTGTGCACGTCCTTTGTAACAAAAGAACTCAGAAAGAACACGAACCTCATGCAGCAGTGAAGGATCCAGCACCCCACTGAAAGGGAACACTGCTCTCACTTAACCATCACCTCTCTTGCCAAACTAAGATTTCCTGTCCAGGAGGTGCACAATGAAATCCCATTGTGTTTGTGAGGAGACACTGCTCCTCAGGATCCCTTCTGTCCTAAGCTTTGTGACTTTTAAGAACACTTCTAACAATAATATCTAGCAAAATCTCTTTGACAATGTTTTAAACAGGAGCTCCCTGTTCCAAACAGAGGTGAATAATGAGGAATCCTTCCCACAGGAAGGGCTGTTGCTGGACAGCCAGGCTGGAATGAGGCTGGTATGAGCTGGAATCCTGCAGCCAGAGTGAAAGGAGCTCATCACTCAGGTGAGCCCAGCAAACACAATATCAAAGTGAACATGGGAATCCTGTAAGGACTGTTACTCACAGGGTAAAGACAAAGTTGCCCTGTAGTAGCTGAGTGCTGGTCATGAACTGCAGGCACACTCCCAGATCACTCTGCTGCTAAACAAAACACAGGGTAACTGTATAGTTCTCCCATTATTTACATCAGAAATGCATTCATAACACTTGGGAAAAAATTCTTAACTCTGCAACTACTCTGAGATGCATCTTTTACACAAAATATAACCAGCTTTTTCTTCTTCCTGGAATTACACAAAAGAAGGCTGGATGGGGCCCAAAGGCTGCCCATTCTCTGTAACATGCAGATGCCTGATAAGTCTGGTATTTCTTCACACCACATTTAAATGGAGCCAGAAGCCCTGGGTTACTGCACTTCTGGCCTCAGGTCAGTGAAACATTTTTCCTTCTTTGTCAGAGTTTTCATCCGGAAAGATACAGTCACTAGAGCATATCTAAACCCTGCCTTACTAACCCATCTGGTCTGGAAACCAAATCTGAGCTCCTCACTGCTCATCTCAACAGATGAGAGTCCTGTCCAGCACTCCAGTGCTGTGAGGATGCTGACCATGAGAACCATGGATTAAGGCCAGTGTATCCAGAGCTCTGAGCAGTCTGGCTCCTTTCTGGAGTGAAGTTCCTACCTTGGACCACTCTGATGCTTCCCAGATGGACAGGCAGTCCCTTCCCTCACAGCTCTGCACCGTGGCTGGTTTGCTGCCCAGGCAGTAGAGGTCCCTGGTGTTGACGTAGGTGCCGTTCTGCAGCTGATAAACACAAGTGACCTCCCGGTGCTGCACACCCTTCTCACACGTGGCAGAGCAGGGACTCCAGTGGCCAGTCACCCACCTGGGAAGGAGCCAGAGGATAAATGTTAGCAAACTGTTGGAATAAAACATTATGCTTCACTTAAAGCCAGTGAGAAATGGACAGCTCTTCCTGGGTTTGTGGGTGCTTTGATGGTGCTGTGCTGTCGTCACCCCGAGCTCACTGATCCCCTCTGGGAGCTGAAGTGTGTAAAACAGCAGTGTCAGTATGCAGGGGAATATTCCCTCTTGACTCCATATCAGGCAAAACCCCAAACTCTGCAGTGGGGCTGGTTTTTTCTCTCAGACAGAGACAGACTTGTCTGCAGACCACCTGCAAGACCATTCCTTACAAGGGAAAGGAGGAATCCTCCCTGCTCTGTCTTCCACCTCCACTGACTCCAGCAAGTGCTGGAAGCACCACAGTGGGGCTACAAGGCAGTGAATAAAGTGTCTAAGAAGGATCTGAAGGAGGAGGGATGGAGGGGAGGACATTTTTTTCTAAAAGAAAAGCAGCATCGATCTTTAGCTTCCTGTAATCTGTCAGTGAGAGCATGTTCTCTGTAATTACAGGCATGCCTAGATGGAGTGAGGGACTGGAGCAATAACTGTGCAGCCACTGAGCACCAGAAGGCTCTCATGCCTTTCTCACCAGGCAATTGACCTTCTAGCCTGTTATTCAGGACTGTCATCCAGATCTGTATCCTTACACCATGAATCTTTTACTTGTCACCCAGTTCTGGGCTATTATGGTAGTGGCCCAAACAAGACTTCTCAAAAATAGGCCTGCTGAAAAATACTATTTCATTCTGCTGGAGGCTCCTGCAATCTAGGTAGAGCAACGTTACCATATTTCTTTTGAAAGCGTTGTGTGTTACTTCTCTGAAATGAATTAAAAAACTGTTTCCCATCTTCCCATTACTTAAGGGGGGAAAATCAGCTCAGCACCATTTGTAGAAACATCTTCACCTGCTGCAATTGTAATGAATTAATTTGTGAATGCCATGACTGGTGTGACAGCACTGATGACTGTGCTGACAGTGCAGGAAGAAGCCATTTGGTTTGAGCAGGACTGGGCAGACTGGCCACCTGTCTTTTGTGGAACAGGACTCTGCTCAAATGTTCCTGTGCATTAAAGCAGTTGACTGACACATTTGTGAATTTCTGTTGGCTAAAACAGCTGGTGAGACACCAAACCTGTTTCTCCAGACTGCAGTTTTGGTGCACCTCCGTGGCCCAGGGCTTGGTATTTCTCCTATGGAATGGGAAAAGGTCAGCTGGGAAATTGAATACTAGGGGTGAAAGACTGACAAAAATAGCCCTGAAGTGCAGAAATCAGTGTTCATGAAAATTAATAGCCAGGCCTCCTTGGTATCAGCTGGGCTCTGCCCTGTTGGAGCAAACATGAGGGAATTGTCCACCTGGGGGAAGGAACCTCCTGACAAAGGCCTGGAGGGGCAGAAATGGCTGTGCTTTATGAGCTGAGTGTGAGTCACAAGGCTGGGAAAGGGCTCTGCCCAGGCTCCACTCAGCTAATATTCACTTCAGCACTGCTCTCACTGTGATCTACAGCTACTGGCAGAAGAAAAAGGGAAAGGGGCTGAAAGCAAAGGAGAAAGATAAAAATACATTCTTGGCAGAGGCTGGCTGTGAGCTTGCACTTAGGATGGGCAGCACACAGCATGCCAACTATTTCCAAGATGCCTTAAGAAGAAAGGTTATGGTTTTCCTTTTTAGCACAGAAAAAACAAGTATTACCATCATCATGAGAAGAATGATTGCACAGGGAACGAGCTGGAACCCAGGGTACCAAAACAAAGATGTGTCTGTGGCAAAAGCAATCTCCAGTTTACCCCTTGGAGAGGTCTTCAGCCACCATCCACTACATCCACTCCTGATCCCAACACTGTGGTTACAAATCAGGTGGGGCAATGCTGTAAGGGATCTCTGAAACCTCACAGCCCACTCTGCCCTGCCTGTGACCATCAAAATACTTAGAAATTTAAGGCCCCTCTAAAGTGGTGGTTTTACTTTCACATCCAGGAGACAAGTGATATTAAATGTCTAAATAATACGAATATGTAAAGTAGGTTATTTTCAAAAGCACCAAGGGGATGATCACTTTGACCACTAAACTTCATCCTCTCAGTGAAATCTATGCTTGAATCAATGACTTGTAAAAACAATCAGGCAAACAAGTAAAGGTGAGTCCTACATACTGTCCTGGCAGTGCCCTGAACCCCCACAGTTCCCCCAAATTTTCCTTCAAAGGCAGCTGAAAATATTGTTTTAGTGCCTGTGATACACAGGAACATTTCAACAATGTTCACAACCAATGTGGAAAGACAAAGGATATGTGGATAAAGTGATTAAAGATGAAAATTCCTGCCAGTTTCAAATTTTTGGAAGGAATTTGCAGCAAGATATTAGCAGAATTACTATCTGCAAATATACACACGGGGAGAAAAAAGGTGGTGTTCAAATAGTATCACATTATGGTAACTATTAAATTGCAGCACAGGTAGATTTTTGTCTCTACACTGTCATTACACCTTCTGAACACACCTGAGTTTGTTTAACAAGATGACCTACTTAGAGGGTGATCTTCTTTAAAAAAGGATAGGTACTTTCCTTATGACAACGTCAAAAATAACTCCAGTGTTCTAACTCCAAACCCCAGGCTGGCTGTATTATTAACTAAGCCAATTAACTGCTGTACACTAAGCCCTGTGTATATCATATACAGCATTTGGCTTCCAGTTACACTTTAAGCCTGTAAGCTGATCTTAGGGATTGCTTGACACCAGAGTTCTTTCCAGCTTGGTCTTTCCCTCCCAGGTTATAACCTATCTTCTGTGGGACCAGGGGAGTGCTCCAGCTGGGGTCCCAGGAGAGCCTCTCACTTTGCCAACAAACACTGATTTACGTGACAAACACACTCATTTTTCTCACAGCCACAGGGATGCCTCCATCCCTGGTATTATTATTTTTTGTAATCTTACCTCTACAGAAGATTCAAGAGCTAAGTGATCCCTGCTGGTGGTTAGATTCAGGAAGAATATTATTAGCTTTTAAGCAGAGATTTTACCCCGTCAGTGGCTGTCTTTCCAGCTAAAATATGCCCAGAAGGGTGTGATTTTCAAAAGCTTCAAAAAGCTGGGATGGGCAGGACATGCAATCTGAGAGGGCTGCTCTAAATCTTTGCCTTCTGAGTCTTCCTCAACCTCTGACCTCTCAGTATCTCTTCTGAGGAATTGGGAGTTCTTCTAATCTGCTTTGGCAACACTCTTCTGGCAGGCCCCTGGAGCAAACTTGAAATATCTTTTGGAGATTCAGTTCATCATTTGATCTTTCTATGGTTTGGATTAGTTTTTAACCTTGAATTATCTACTCTACCTGCTTGCCTAAGACTCCCACATTTTCTAAGAAAAAAAATTGCCCGCAGCACAATGTACATAAACCCAGGGGAGATGAATGTCTGCAAATGAGGGCTTGGAGCTAAAGATTTGGGAAAAAATGTTAGGAAGATCAAATGGATCAAGGCTCAAGGATGGGGGTGAGGGAGTGCAACCAAAAGACGTGAGGTCACTTTTCAGAGATTTGCAGCCTCTTATAACATAAAGCCATTACATCTTCTGGAGTAAATATTGCAACCCATTAAATTTCCCCTGGTTGTTTCTGCCCTGAGCCCTGCAGAAAGTGTGTTCTCTTCCACTAACTACACACCCATGCCTGTTCACACATCCCCTCACTACCTACAAGGTACTTTTGCTGCCTTCCCAATGCTATAGTGACATTTATTTCCCTGCTTTCACAGTAGCCTGATATGACCACAGATATGTTTGCAATAACACCTTTTTTTGTTATTAAACCTGTTTTTTTAGAGCTGGCTCTTACATACAACCAGTTTATATCCTGTGCTACCGCTGAGTAAAGCATCAGAGGAAACTTCCTACAAAATATGTCTGAAAAAGCCACGTGACAGAAACATACCCAAAAGCCCTACAATGTGAGGGTTCTATTTCTATTAGATTTTATTGGAAACCTTTTGGTTTAATGCACAGGTGAGGATAAATCCATGCCCAGTTAGCATTGCTTGTCTTTAGCATCAGTTTGTGATACAAAATCATGTCAAAGTCACTCTTAGTTTCCTGAGGCACCTGGAGGTAACTGTGGCTCTACTGATTTAGGCAAAAGTCAGACCAACTTTCAGCAGGGCCAGGATTTTACATTGGATAATTTTAGCGAGAAGAACTGGAAAAGATTTCTGAGAATCAGTCATGTGGAACTGACAGATATACTTTGCTTACAGCTGTCAAACCAAGCTCATGCTCGACTGTGTAGAAGAAAAGTCTCTTTACAAATGGATTGTGTTTTCCATGAAACACACAGACACACTCTGCTATTGGACTGTCCTCTCCCCACACACTCCTGAAGCTCTCCACCACCTCTCTGCTGCACTGGGCTCTAAACAACCAGGTGAATCTTGTCTTTTGGGAACAGGTTGTGCCACACCCAGTCACTAGAAGGCTTGCTTGCCTTTTTTTTCTTTTTCTTTTTTTTTTTTTTTGAGAAAAGTACAAGGAATCTAGTAGAATAATACAGCTGCTGATGTTGAAAGTAGGACTCCAAGACTAACATTCCTGTCTGATTGCCTTTATAAACAGTGCTCAGTAATTTTCCAGTACAGTAGTCATTCTGCTAACAGACTTGCCAACTTTCACTCACACAGGTTTCTTTTTTTCTTTAGTGATTATCATTTTGACAGCTTTTTTTTTCTTTTTTTTTCTTTTTTTTTTTAATTTCCCACCAATAAGATCGGCCATGGAACAAAGTTTTATAATTTACATATACCTTGGGAAGTTCTTTTTTTAGATGGAAGCCATTGTATTCCCTCTCCTCCTCCCCCAGATGAGCAGATCTCTCAGTTTTGGAGGACTCAGTGTGGGGTCAGTGTGAGGAGGTATCCTGCTGTCTGGCACCAAGGGACAGAATTTCAGCACCCAGAGCTCCTCTGCAGTGAGTTTCCCCCACCCACCTCTA